AATCCCCCCCCCATGTAATGGAAATGAAGAGAGGAAGAAATGTTTGAAGTCAAGCCTGGGTGACAACTATTGATCCCTCCATCGCTACAGAGTAATGAGTGGGCGTTATCATACTAGGACAGGAAGTGTGTTGCTGGCAGGATCACCAAGAGAGGCCTGAAAGAAGAGAAGGAATGTAGCCACTACATGTGTGATACATACTACATGTGTGATACATATGTATGGGCCTTTATAGGTCAGTATGTCACATTTTTGTTTTGCGGTGTAGCTACGCTCTAATTCTGCGTTAAGTGGCCAGTGCACCCAAGACCGACTTTTAAATCCCGGAAGGACATGGGGAAAATGTCTGAATCCGAGTTCTCAGCTCCACCCATCTGCCATGGCTATTGCGGAGTGCACTGTCTCATTCTCGGCATTCGTTTCTTCACAATGTGGAGAATACTGCAGAAAGCACATTACATGGAAGAGAGGGACAGAGCGGTGAAATAAAGTCAGTCAGCCCCTTTCATACTGGAATATCGGTTTGGGTGGGACCATTCCTTTAAATGATGTAATGTGTTTGCACCTGTCCCACTCATAATGGGGGATCTGATTTCCCGTGAATCTGCTCATTGAAGGACATTGTATAGCATGTGTACTGAGTGCGTGTAATCTGACTCTCCGCAGTAAGACTTATGGGAACGTGCTGGTCCTGGACGGATTAATCCAATGCACGGAGAGAGACGAGTTCTCCTACCAAGAGATGATCGCAAACCTCCCTCTCTGCAGCCACCCCAATCCACGCAAGGTACAGCTCTAGTCCTTCCGCTCAATGCTTTCACAGATGTAAAGGAATAAAGGGTTAACATTTCTGTGCCCGGTGATATACATTGTAAGTCTTCGGGGTCAGTTACATGTAAAACTCAACCTTCCCCAGTCTGTCCTCCATGGTAGCCCCTTCTCCACTCTCAGCCTTCCTGTTGGGGCAGAAAGCAGAGCATTTCAAGGTCCATACTCTAGAACACCACCATGTGGAAAGGTAGTGGCGGGTGGTCCTTGTCCATGAAAGATGGGATACCTGGGATTGCCACGCTGCTGGCATTAAATTATCCAGGTGTGGTGTAACTGCCATAGAGACTGAATTGGAATTGTGAGAGTTGTTGCACAGCAAAGAGACACCACCTCACCTTTAGCTCAATCAGAACAAATACTCAAATCTCCCCAGCCGACATATTGGATTCTGTCAGCCGGCATACCTGAACCACGACTGCAGCTGATTGGCTAACAGTTGTCACCTGGGCTCCTCTCAACAAAAGTCTATTGAAAATTCAACTTTTGTTGTAGGAGTGAGTGGTGCCAACAGGGCCACCCACAGCTCCAATATTGGCCTAGTCAGCAGGACCTGAATGACGTTTGGGCCGTGGATGACCAGCTTAACCCATCACTTCTCTCCAGCTTTTTGTTAGGTCTTTGTACAGTCACCTGCAGCTTTTTGTTGTACGCATGTCTACAGTTCCCCCATTTCAATAAGCAATAAGATTAAAAAAAAATGTTGCCCAACTGTTGGGGTTAGGAGGTTGAGTTGAACTTGCTCATCCTTCCTTGGCCTGACTGTGTCTCTTCTACGTGACAGGTCCTCATCATCGGAGGAGGGGACGGCGGAGTCCTTCGTGAGGTGGTGAAACATCCATGCGTGGAATCCGTAGTACAATGTGAGATTGACGAGGTAACACGGAACGTATGGCGCTGTCAGCTGTCAGTGGTTTCAGAATGCTGAACTTCTGAACCTTTAAAGGTAACTTGTCATTGGAAATGAATCTCCTTCTGTGCTCTTCTGCAGGAAGTCATCAGCGTCTCCAAGAAGTTCCTCCCAGGGATGGCAGTGGGGTACTCCAGTCCAAAGCTTAAGCTGCATGTCGGCGATGGCTTCCAGTTCATGAAACAGAACCAAGATGCTTTTGATATCATCATTACAGACTCCTCCGACCCTGTAGGTGAGGAAAGTCCAACTGAACTTTCACTTCAAATCAGCGAAATATACTCTAGGTGCGTGGAAATGAAATGTGTGCATCCTGAGCAGATAAACCTGTCCCCTGCCCGCACACTGCAGAGAAGGAACCTGGATCCCCGTGTGGAAGCAGTGCTCTCTTTGAGGCCCTACCCTTGTAAGTCAGTTGGACCTACTTTAATTTGCAAAGCTCCTTGCTGATTGGAGAACTTTAGATCAGCAGTGTAGTGATGTCGGACCTCTGCAGAGAAACCCACTGCCTCCACACACAGAGGTAAGACCCTTGGAAAGTATAGTTCTGGGAGTGCCAGACCCCTCTCCTGACGTTTTGCAGTTGAGCAGCTCCCAGCACAGCTTTGGGTTGAACTCAATGCCCTTTCAAGTACTGCGAAAGGAGGACAATCCTGGCCGAAAATCCTTTCCGAGAACGAGGTACCTAAATATCCATTTTTCAGTATTACCTGTAATCAGGTTCTCTTTAAATAAACTGGTAATTGCTATGTAAGATTTAAAATGTTAGTTCTGCTAACGGTATATAATTGAGTGTCAGATTTTGGAAAGGGCTATTCTCATACGTCTCCATTTACTTTCATCCATACTGTCCTTTTTACTCGCAGGTCCTGCCGAGAGTCTCTTTAAAGAGTCTTATTACCAACTGATGAAGACGGCGCTGAGAGAGGGCGGGATCCTCTGCTGTCAAGGTAATTATGCCGACATATTTGAGGGGGATGTTTATTTCCAAACAGTCACTTTAATTAAAAGTGCCCATACACTGCACGATTATCGTACGATAATCGTATGCGATCGGTTTTTCGTACGATAATCGAGCAGTGTGAACGGAGACGTGTGACCGTTTCTACTGTACGGTCGCACGTCTTCTGTCGAACCAGCATGTTCGAAAACCAGCCGGGAATCGTACGATTCTCGGCTGGTTAGAACGGTGCTCGAAAGCCAAATGCCGAACGGGCCGGTGTGCGCACGCGCACACTGCCCGTTCAGCATTGCGGTCATTTGAAGCCCGCCCCTCAGGGGGGCGGGCTTGCGATGATCGAGAGTGCGATCTGCCTGTCCAAGATAGGCAGATCGTACGTTTTTTTAATCCTTGTACAACCATCGCAAGACTAAAGTCTTGCGATGGTTGTAGAGTGTATGGCCACCTTAAGACTATGAGGAGGCTTCTGATGATTTCCACACTAGGGGAACTTTTGTGATGCATTTACAGGCAGTCCCCGGGTTACGGACAATCCGTACTTACGAACCGGGGTCCACAGTTCCGGCAGCTGCCAGTACATTTAGGAGTGCTTTGGCTGCAGCGGGGACACAGACCGCTGCATTCCTATGCTGCCCCCCCCTTACAGCCGCTGATGTCCTGGCATCCTCTTCCCCGGTCCAGACGATACTCTGCTCTCCTGGTCCGGTCGCGGCTCCTCTGCCCCGCCCCCTGCCTCCTTCATTGCAGGCTGGGAGCCATACCCAGCCTGCGATTGGATATTGTAAAATGCAATAGCCAATAGCAAGCTGGCTATTGCACCCGCCCACTGCTTGCTGTCAATCAGCATGGGAGGACCTGATAGAGAACTTTCTCCTTCAGGCCCCTGCAGATGCAATAGTCAGCCTGCTATTGGCTATTGCAATTTGAAATCTCCAATAGCAGGCTGGCTTTCGTTCCCAGCATTAAAATAAAAGTATCAAAAAATAAAATTAAAAAGACAAAAAAAGTTACATTAAAATTAAGTTTAAATTAAAATTAAAAATGGGAAACCTTTTTTTGGTTGTCATTTTAAATAAAAAAACATTTTTTATCATCTTCTGAACAGGAACAGACAGCAAAACAAACGTGACCCTTCCCTATGCTATCCAAAACAAAAACATGTTTTTTTGGCTGGAGTTACACTTAAAAAAATGTACCTGTTCTGACTTCCATACAAATTCAACTTAAGTACAAACCTAAAGTCCCGATCTTGTATGTAACCCAGGGACCGCCTGTAATTGTTTTACTTATGTACTGCAGCACAGACATGTTCGGAAGTCACTGATTTATTGTATGTTTGTGTGAAATGGCCTAATGTTGGCTTATGAGATTTCTTGGTTAAGGACAGATAGGGCTCTGCTGTATTTGGGCCTCCCGCCCACCCAGGAACATGCAGGACAAATGTAAATCCTATAGGAGACGGCGTTCATCTCCACCACTCATCCTTATTTCTCTCTTTCTAGGTGAATGTCAGTGGCTGCACCTGGACCTCATAAAGGACATGCACAAGTTCTGCAAATCTCTCTTCCCTACGGTAGAATACGGTTACTGCACCATCCCGACCTACCCCAGCGGCCAGATCGGCTTCATGCTGTGCAGCAAAAACCCTGTGAGTATCTCTTGTGTTCGCCAGCTCGGAGTGCTGTGCTGGTATGACGGCATCTTGTAGGCTAGGGAACAATTGTGTTTGTGGTCTGCTTTTGATGTGTGTCTCCAAAGCACTTGCTGCATCTTAAACAGTGTTTTGAATTTAGTATCAAGCGCTTTGGTAATGCTTCTGCCATGGAACATGACTTTCCGATCAAAGGGGGTGGTGAACCCTATTGGTATACCCTATTCACTAGGGCTGTGCAAATTAACGATTCATTTCTTGATTAATCGTTAATCTTTTTGATCGATTAAGAAATTTTTCATCGCTAATGAAAACACTCACCTCTCCGCCGGGATCCGGGAGTCCCGTCCTCCCCCCTTCCCCAAGCGGCTCAGTCCTCCCCCCTTCCCTTCGTTAGCCGATGGACCCACTTGGGGACAGACGTCACCGGACTCCTACCCCCCCCTTTCGTTAGCCGACGGAGCCACTTGGGCTGGTGAGTTTGCCCAGGAAACTTTCTGCATGAGCGCCATTGGTCTATACACATACAGCACAGCAATGAAGTAATAAAATGAACTAGGATCACACTAATCCAGCACGTTATTATTCTGAGTTGCCCCACTCAAGCGGCGGCCATATTGAGTGGGGCACGTGAGATTAATAACGTGCTGGATTAGTGTGATCCTAGTTCATTTTATTACTTCATTGCTGTGCTGTATGTGTGTAGGCCAATGTAGTTGGATCTGTATGTGCGTTATAATCGAACACGAAAATGTTAATCAGTAACAGCCCTACTATTCACCCATTATTGGTTCCCCCAAGATAACTAGTTGCTAGGGACCCTTGAAATTGTTTTTGCTAAAACCAATTCATTGGTGGCCAGTGAGAAGAATTCGCCTGCAGTGGTGGTCACAATCTCTCCCTAAACAACTAAAAAGATAATTTGGTGTCATGCATCTGACTCTAAGGCTGGGTTCACACCTAGGCGTATCGAATATGCGCGTTTGTACGCGCATTTCCGAGGGCTACCTGGCTGTATCCCAATGGATACGCGTGGCAAATACGACCCGAAGAAGCTCCTGTACTTCTTTGGGAGTAGGGCGTTTTGCAGCGCATGCCTACACGCTGTAAAACCCCCAGCCCAGGTGGGAACCATGCCCATAGGCAATCATTGGTTTTCACATGTTGAGCGTTTTACAGCGTGAAAACGCCCAGGTGTGAACCCGGCCTAAGTGGCTGGCCTGGAACAGTGCTGGCAGCACAGTGGCATAGGAGTTAGCGCTCCTGCCTTGCAACACTGGGGGTCCCTGGTTCGAATCCCGGCATCCTCTCTTAATTAAGCACTCTTAATTGGCCCTCCTATGCATGTGGGATAGGGACCCTAGATTGTAAGTTCCTTGAGGGAAGAGACTGATATGAATGTGCATCATTTAAAGCGCTGTGTAAATTCTCAGCACTATCTAAATACCTGTAAATAAATAAATACCTGTAATAAATAAATAAATACCATCCAATGGGAGGTCAATCAGCCGTATTTTAAAGGAACACATAGGAGGGGAAGCCAAGGATTCCACGGATCCCTGGTGGAGAATATCTGCTCTAAAGTCATTGGGCTGCTTTTCATTGAGAGCAGAAGCATAAAACTTCTCTACTATAAGAAACCCCTGTATAGCAGGATGCAAGGGCAGCATGTCCAATGAGCAAATATGTCTCTCGACCACTCAACATTCTATAGATGGAACAATGTGTTTAGCCAGTAAGTGAAGCTTTGGGCTGGCAGGCCATGTTCCCATGTGAACCCAATCACATTGTTTAAGGCGCACAGAGCAAACAAAATATCATTCAGTTGGGGTTTAGATCGACTTAAACATTTTCTAAGGAATGAGTGCGCGTCCTTAATCCAGTTTCTGTCTCCATTGCAGAATACAAGTTTCCGGGAGCCGGTACGGCAGTTGTCTCAGGAGCAAGTTGATGAAATGAACCTGCGATACTATAATTCCAGTATCCATCGAGCAGCCTTCGTCCTCCCAGAGTTTGCACGGAAAGTAAGCAGCTTCACTTTGTGGTATTTTCCTGGTGGGAAATCTACTCTGCAATAAAAAGGAACCCCGACTGTGACGTGAATTACAGTAGATGTGGATTGAGATGCGATTGCATTTGTAGCTTGCAGAGCTCAGAATTGAGGATGGCTATACAAGAGGTTTGTTTTTTCCTATAAAAGAACTATGGCCAAACCTTTTTTTGGCGGTAGTTTTCTTTATGGTCACAGGAGGACACTAAAGAAAAGGTCAACAAACCTCTTGGATAGCTTTCCTATGTATTCCTGTGACCCCAAAAGCTATTGCCCGCTATATACTGACCGAGCAGAGCCACAGCCAGGAAAGGTCCCGTAAATATTGTCGGGAGCCACCCAATAGACAGCTGGCTCTGCCTCTCTAGAGCCAGGAATCCCTGCGAGGAGAAGATCATGAACTCAGCGTTCAGTTGTTTGATTGCTCAGTTCTTGATCAATAGAGCCCTCTAACTATGCATTTCACTCATCCCATAGTTCTCCTTTTAAGCTTTGTCATCCTTGTAGCATGTTCAACCACTGACTCACTAGCCATTGATGCCAGGGTGATGGCCCCCAGAGCCTGTAGTGACAGCTCCTAAAGATTGGGTTTCCTTTAAAGAGGCACTGTCATCTTATCCAGTGTCTGTGTAAGTAAGGCCCCATTACAGTAATACTCACCTTGACAGTGCTCCTCCATCACAGCCGGCACCACCATTATGATGTTACTACTTGGGCCTAATGATTGACTGCTAGACCTGAGCACTGTCGCATAGGAGGTCACATGCACCTCTGTATCAGTGTCAGGGGCCCCTTTACACATAATGGGCACAGTAAACCTCATGTATTTGGTCATATCAGGGTACAGTATGTACTGTAGAATAGGGAGGATCTGACAGGTCCTCTTCGACTTTGCTAAACTAGTTTTGCTTTTAGATGTTACTTGTCTCATTTTTGTTAAAAATTTGCAGAGAGATGAAACATTTTTGGCCGTTCCCTCCAGAGAGGGATCTGTCATCGCTTATCTAGCCGTGCATCTTCTCAGCTCATCTCCTCTCCTCTGTCACCGGAAATTGGCGGACTGGAAGACGCGTCCGCTTTGGCTGCTGATAACCGCTGTCCTCCTCCTTCTCTGTCAGGCACTCAGCGATGTGTGACGTTCCCAGCAAGGCTGGCGCTTGTCTCTTCAGAGGCTCCGGACCTTTTAATCGGAGCGAAGGCCAGGCGTCCCGCGAGGATGGGGGAGAGAGAGCTGGACCTTCCCCTCCAGGATGATCGCTCTGCACCCAGTGCTGGCAACTGTGACCGGTGAACACGTCTCTTCTCAGGCCTAGAATCTATGGGTACAACACGTTACAGTACACTCTGCACGCAACTTGTACGCTTCTGTTATCCCTTTCTGCAGCAGGCGACTGACGAGTCAAATGCACCCAGAACTGTCAAAGCGGCGTTTCCCAAAACCTGTTAGTATTTTGCAGATGGGCTTCTCCACGGGTGCAGTTATTTGGGTCTTGGCACTGTAGTTAATATACCTGTGTGCACATCCACAAAACATGAACGGCTGGATGGACCTTAGACGGGTTCCGAAAAACAGAGAAAAGATCAGTCTGCGTAAAACTGTCCGTTGTTGGTGGAATCACCCGCTGGTCTTTTACGCTGTTCAGGAACTCTTCGCAGCATAGTATTGCACGCCGCTCCTCTCCCCAGCCACTTATTGAGCCCTCATGTAGGGTGTAACTTTCGCCACTAGAGGGCAGTATGGCCGAGAGCTCCATCATTGCCACTAGAGTCCCAAAGATTATAGGAAGTTGGCTCATGGTTCAAAACCCCTTTTCTAAAAATAATTTTTCGGTGGAGTGACAGAAGCCATCAGTCTTTTTTGTTCAAAGCGCCAGTCATTGCCAGTATAATCGGTATCATGTATACGTTTCATTTATCTATATATTTAATAACAGGTCACTGACCCACAAGCTGCTAATCCCCCACCGTTTTTGCTGCTGGTATTTGGGGAAAGAGAAGTGGGTCTGTATAGTCGCCCCCCCACCAGCAATGGTTCTTACCTGATTGCTTTGCCATGTGAGGGCCAGTTGATTAGAGGTTAGGGATATGGGGAGGATGGTACATGTTTTGGGTAAAACGCTGTAATCACTGGATATTATCTGTCAATAAACAAAACATTAAAGCCGTCTTCTGTCTTCACACGCAGAGGTTGTGAGAAAGTGTCTGTTGTAAGGGGAAAAAAACACAAGTTGGCCTAAAACTACCAATCACTGTAAAAGAAGTTACAACCCCATGTACATTCTCATGCAGAGAAGTTGATCCCCATTCCCCCCCCCCTTCTTTCCTCTGGCAGACTGAAGTGCCTGAATACAGTTGCAAATCTTTTTTTTTTTTTAATGACCATTCCAAGGGTGACAACCCCTAAAATCAAGTTGTATTTCAGGGTGCAGGGAAAATGAGCTCAGGCTACTTTCTGTGCACATTCTCTCCATTACTATGTCATGTTGGGATTAAATATACCGGGGGGGAATTTATCAAAACGAGCAGATTTGCGCTGCAACCAATCAGCTTCTCTGTCTCATTTTCAAATCTTACCTGAGCAAACTGAAGAGTCATGCTGATTGGTTGCCGTGGGCAACTGCTCCAGTTTTGATAAATTCCCCCCACTGTATGTTGCCCATGTGTATGCGGATATGCAACATTGTGTCTTTTGTTATAAAGTGATGGACTTTCTCCTTAATGATATGTGACATATCAGGAGTGGAACTGCACAGTACAGCTTCCTATTATGGAAAGTAGGGATGCAGCGATACTAGTTTCGGTATCGTTGCCCAAATGCTCCTTTGGCCTTTTCCCGATACTGGAACTTCCGGTCAGAGGGAGATTTCCTCTGACCGGCAGTGCCGCGAGGGGAACATGGAGGACATGCTGCCCAGCACTCTCATTCAGAGATGCTATGCGCAGTAGCAGGCTGAGGGCCGATCACGTGGGCGCTGTGCACACAGGAGACATGGGCAGATACAGGAGAGCGGGGTCTGCCCAGCTGCCATGTTAGGGGAAGGAGGTGTCTGCAGGGTGGGGCTTGTGTCACCATATTATCAGATCGGCTGGGAAGCCAGCCTCCCGGCCAAACAGAATGGAGCCGGCTTCCCCGGCAATCGAGAAGCTGGGCGGTGGGTAACACTAACTGGCTTACTGATTGCCTGGGAAGCCGGCTCTATGCTACCGGAAGTACCGAAATATAAATATCGGTACTTGATACTGAAAAACTGGTATCGGTGCTTCCCTAATGGAAAGTGGAAATTTATGGCCTGTGGGCTATTTTGTGTCCCTCTTCACCCTCCCTTCCTGTGACAGTCGCCAGGAAGTTATGAGAAACTGACCCACGTCTCCTGATCTGGTGGCACTTTTCAGCAGTGAAATTTCCACTCACTTTGTGGGCTGGTGATAACGGACGTAGGCCAACTAACTCCACAAATAGCCACACTCCAATGGTCTTCACCTAAAGTAAGTCTTAATTTATGGAGCAAATGCATACTCTGTGATGAGTGGAATGGTGAAACGCGTTAGAGGTTGGGCATACATGGGTCGGAACTATACGGCATGGAGCAAAAACAAACATACTGTAAAGACTTTTACTTTCGGTGAAGACCCTAAAGGTGCCCATACACCTTTACGATTATAGGATGAAACTTTTCGCCCGATGATCGAATAGTCGTACGATTTTCGTGCAGCAGCCCCATCATGCCCCTATGATCGCAAGATTAGTTTAGCCGTAATTAAGGAAAACACCTGGACGAATTGCGGTAATTTATTTGCCGTATTTTCGTTAGCGCAAGCGCAGTGTAGATCGTACGACTTTTGACGGACGGAAACGCCATCAACCATGTGAACATCGTACGATCTAGCAAAGTTTTCAAACATGCTTGACCGTCAAAAGTCGTACGATTGTACAGTAATGTCGGTCGGACACTGCAATGCACACATACGATTATCGGACGAAAAGTCGATCGCATACGATTATTGTACGATAATCGTAAGGTGTATGGGCACATTTAGAGTGCAGCTATTTCTGAATTTAGCTGGTATAGGCGATGGCACGCGTGTTTGCTTACACCAGGGATGCAATCATGGTGCAAGCAAGTTTTGGAATCTGTGCGGCGTTAGCTGTGAATTATCTAAGGACTTAGGCCACGTCACACAAGCTTCTGTGTCACTTCCCCTCGCTGCCAGAAATGATGCAAAATGTAAGTTGCAAGCGAAATATGGACGCAGAGGTTTTCCTTTCCTGTACAGCATTGCATAGCGATCCTGCTCCTGGTGGGAACTCGCCAGCAACACGATGACTAATGTGACCGCTCTTTTTTTCTGCAATGTTCCACAAATGGTTGTCACCCCTTAAATTTTGTTTTAGTACATTTTGCCATCTACGTATACTAAGGATGCACCGATAGTACCTGTGCCGATACCGCGTATTTGGGCCGGTACTCGTGCTCACCCAAATGCTCAGATGTCTAGCCCAATACCCAAACATTCCGGTATCAGGAAGCTGGGCAGAGAGTCATTACACACTGCCAGGCTTCCTCGTTGACCGGGAAGCAGACTCCATGCGCCATCATCACTTGGTGATGATGGAGCCAGGCAACGTGTAATAGCTCGCTGTCCGGCGACTGACTGACCTGGTGGCGAGGAAGCATGGACACTGCTTCCCTGCTAATCGGGGGGTGTAGACTCGCCTCCTGATTGGTTGAGAAGCTAATCAGCTTTACACGCTTCCCAGCTAATCAGGAAGGGAAGAGTGTAAAGACTTCCCTTCCTGATTAGCTGGGATGCTAATGGGACATTTGGTATCGGTGTGTACCGGGGGGAAAAAAAAATATCGGTACTAGATACCGAAAAACCTGTATCGGTGCATTCCTAACATACACAAGTGAAATACGAATGACTGCTGCAGTAGGCAACCTTGGCACTCCAGTTGTGGTTAAACTACAAATCTCTTCGTGTCTTGCACATACTAAAACTAACATTTAAAATATACTCCTAGACTTTTATGCAGTGCAGATACCTCTCCTGTTGTGCACTTAGAAGTTACTTTGGATAACATGTTTTGGTTTTTAGAGTGTTTGTGGTCTTTAATAAAAAGAATAAAGAAAAATCACATCTTTGGTTACCTGGAGCCTTATGTGTGTGGCAAACCTACTACAAGAGGACATGTTTGCTGTCCGCTGACATTTTCTGAAAATGCTGGCCCACTACTGCAAGGGTCAAATGTTCTTCGTCTAGGGGTAGTTGAATACGCAGTTATATTGACCTTGCTTGCCGAAACTCCAGGATCTGGGTGGACTCTTCTCATCCTAAAATACAATGCAGCAAGGGGGACCATCGAAGCAGCAAAGGGGATCCGTTTCACGGAATTAGTTGTGCAGTGGAGAACTATATACTATCTACCCCTGTGGGAACAAAGGGAAAAAGGTGAATAAAGATTCCTAGACAAAATGTGCATTTAACCCTTGCCCCCCACAGAAGTCATTCTTTTCGCATATCTCAGGTGTAAACTGTATTTTCTTTTTTTTGGCCTAAATAAAAAATCAGGGGAAAAAAAATAATTTCCATTCCAATAAATAAATAAATATATATATATATATCTGTTTTTCAATGAAAATAACCATTTGCAACATAGACTCTATTGGGTCTGTTTTGAATGAAGTTCTCTCCTATGCATATATACACATAGGAAATTGTTGCACAAGCAGCAGGGATGAGAGGATTGTCAGGAAAAGGCCATTCAAAAGTGTTGGGGACTTTCACAAGGAGTGGACTGAGGCTGGAGTCAGTGCATCAAGAGCCACCACACACAGACGGATCCTGGACATGGCTTCAAATGTCGTATTCCTCTTGTCAAGCCACTCCTGAACAACAGATCGCAGGTTCTGCGTTAAATAAGGAACAAATCGTCCAAACGTAACTTCTCCAGGATCTTCCTGCTGGATGTCACAGCGTTCTGTCTGATGCCTGACGACGCTAATAAAAAGACAGATTGAAGAACATCCATATATGCATGATATTATTCTGCCACCACAACACTCAAAAAATATACCATGCATATATATATATATACTTACAAACTAAACAGAGACAGAAGATGTTTTACGAGAGTAAATGCCAATTCAAATTTCTACTAAGCCATTAGGCGCGAAAACAAGTGTGCAAGGTCTTACAGCTGCAGTGAGACCACACAGAGAACAAGGGTCCTTCTTTGGAGCATCGGGTAAAAATTGTTGGAACTAACCCTAACTCCCATCTTAAAAACCTTAATTCCTACGAACCCTAGCCTTCTTCTAAACTTAGTCTGCTCCTGGCCCCAGTCTCCTAGTCCTGGCCCCAGTCTCCTAGTCCTGGCCTGCTGTCTAACTCTAATTTCCTGGTGCCTTCATGGTATACATATGATTGGTTCTCCACCCACATCCAACCCCCAGGGCCAATTATAGAATATACTAAGCTTACCAGTCTAATTTTTTTGTACTCAAGACCTTTAGGACCAATTCAATGACCACTAACACTGTTTGGATATTGGCGTTTAAGTTTTCCCATAAGAACCCATAAACCGATGAGTTTGCTTTCTCATCTCAAAGGGCCATTTCTGGATGTTCAAGAAGCAGCCTCCATATGTCCCCTATACTGCAACCACTTGGTTCCAGAAACCTGCAGAAAAGTCTGATACACCAAGAGGAGGTCATTCCTGTCCTAGATTTACTGGGTTCTATCTCTCCAATCTTCTTGGTAAAGAATAAATCAGGAGGTTGGAGACCAGTTCTCTCCGATCGATCCTCAAGAAGCTGAATCATTTCATACAAGTCAAGAAGTTCAAAGGGGAATCCTTCATTTCAATGATAAAAATTCACTCCACGTTATGCATCTACCCGAACTCCATCAGTCCTAAGATTTCTGCAGCACCTAGCTAGAGCAAAACTTACATTGCCGGCAGTGATTCCATTCCAGACACACAGATCATGGTTCAATGTCCTTTCTGGCAGTTAACTAGCCTCTCAAACTACCTATTATGCCTTTTTCAGTGCTATGCCCAGCCCTATCCATGATTCAGTCTATCTATCATATCTAAATCCTCTTCCACATATCACTGCAATCAATTATTTGAACCCACACAAGATTTCCCCTCATACCATTTAGACCTCTTTGTGTGGTGAGAACATTTTTGCCAAAATGGGTGTACAGGTTTCCAAGTCATTGGGACATTGGGTTTATTCTGTGATTTACATATTATCAGCATAGATTTGGGGGTGCTGATTTGCATATTTTTTGGAGTAATTTACCCACCCAAAACCTCTGTTTTCCTGGGGAGAATCCCGTTAAAGATCGTTGGGCCGAAGGAACCGGCTTCCACATGACTCAAATCCACCTCCCTAAGGGGGGCTTGAATTTTTGGGGTACCGCTTCAACTGGAGAGATAAACTTTTTTTCCTTTGCATATCATTATAATATGTTAATGAGGAAAAGGGTGTCATTTTTGGGGTATCACTTTAACTTATGGACAACTGCTAATAATTTGCATTGCTGCTAACATGAATAGGTTAAACCATGATCCATAGTACATAACATGTAGTTGTACTATGGATCATTTAAAGTCACCTGTCCCTTGAAGAAAAAGTATCGGTAATTGGTATCGGCAAGTAAATGAGGGGAAGTACTTGTACTTGGGCCTGAAAAAGTGGCATCGGGACATCCCTACATATCAGTATAATATGTTAATTGTAGAGAGACTTTACTACTTACTACTGCTCTGGCTTCTTTCTAAAGAAGTAGTTGCTGCTCCTTTTTTTTCTGCCCTGACAGGTTTCCTTTGAAGAGGGGCTGAATACCCTACAGGGTGAAGCCAGAAGATAGACCTGTTGCTTTGCCAGATGGAGTAATGGCCAGAATGGGCAGATAGCCAGCGTTGACCTGGGTGAGGAACGGCAGCAGATGCATACAATGGCAGTCACCTCTACCGCTCATGCAATCTTACAAAAGCTCACACCTTCACCCCAACTGTAAATTTGCAGGAGGATTGACATTTTAAAGATCTCTATTTTTTTTAATCAGATGAGCTACAAAGATATTGTACATAAATATAAAACAGGCCATGCACATCAATAATGCTTCAGATGTAACCCATATGGCTGCTTAAAGTTTGATATAAATGATGGCTCCTGATCCAAACATATACTCTCCCTCCATGCAGATGCTATGACACAAAGCTGGCTGACCCCCGGCTGCACACGTTTTATTATTTGGCCACGGACGTCACATTAGAGAAGCTATAAAAGGAGAGTACTCTTCAGTCTGTGCTCATTCCTGCTCCGTCTTCTCTCCCCACTACACCGTTCTCCATCCACTTGTGTCACTATGCTGGGCTCTGCAGGGACCCTGCTGCTGCTGCTTCTCGCCTGGGGGGCCAGAGGTTTATCGCAGCCAGATGACAACAGGATGATACTGGGTCACAACCAGGTGAGAGCCAGAAAGATGAATTATTTCAGCATCATCTCCCATTAATCACAATTTTCACTGATGTTAAAACTAAGCAACCGCTGTGAGGGTGCCATCCCCCTGACAGGGAAACCATGGTGCATTGTAAGTGTGCCTGGATGAGACTGATATTACCTAGGAAATGATGACCATATTCTCCCTGTGGAAGGTTTTCTCTACTTCTAAGTAAATAAGATAGATTTATTACCAAGTTCAAAGGATAACTTTTTAGATTTTATTTTCACATTTACATTTGAGGTTTTAAATTGCAAGTGTGTCGGGAACACTCTAATAATAGAATACAAGTTCTTCTGCAGAATGTCCTTTTCTTGACAATACAATTTACAATACAATGTCAGTATTATTCTAGCAATTAAAGGGGAGTGTTTATTTCTAAGCATACATTAATATTAACATGTTAAAGCATTTTGTTCATAACTACAATTGTATTCTATGTCCGTACATTATATATATCTTTATGTTTGTTAGCTATAGATGGTATTACATGTAAAAACCCATGAATGCGGAGCCGAGATCATCTGACCCAGAGCCGTAAACCATAACCCAGACACTTCACAACTTAACAAAGCCATTACTGTCAGTTCACAAGGATGCACATGACCTCCTCAAAGAGCTGCACTATGTCTGTAGGTCATTGTGTTCTGAAATCAGATTACAGATGTCACTTCTGCAGCACAGGAGGGACAATAAAAGGAAGCAGCCGACAGGTAGCTTACGGGCAATAGACACTAATTTCCCGAACTTTTACAAAAAGTCCTGCTGAACGGCACATATATCAAAATGTAAGCATTTAAAGTGACACTAAACTCAGGAGTTAGATCTTAAAAAATGTATTCAGGTATCTTAACTATGAACAACAATGTATCTTATTTGTGTATCACTCAGCTGTAGATCCTCCAATCATCTCTGAATTGGTGCTGACACTGTCCTTCCTTTCGTCCCCATGGTCCCTGTGTGTGTTGTAAAGTAGTCACCACTACTTATTATTTGCATAGATTCAGAGGGTGCTAATTTGCAATTTTTTTACAGGACCTCCATTGGGGGAGATCCTTAACATTGTTAGAAAAACCCCTTTTCACACGACTCAACCTACCTCCCTAAGGGCGTTTGATTTTGGGGGGTGAGGGGATTCTATCTCACTTTAACTGAGGAAGAAACTTTTGTAAGTTGCATATTATATGTTAATTGCAAAAAGGGTGACATTTTTGGGGTACCACTTTAATATATGGAGAACTGCTTATAATTTGCATATCATTAGCTTTGCTACTCAGGCTGTGGCTTCTTTCTAAAGAAGTAGCTGCTGCTCCTTTTTGTATCACTCGGCTGTAGATCCTCCAATCATCTCTGAATTGGTGCTGACACTGTCCTTCCTTCTGGAGGGGGGCTACGTCTGTTCCCCATGGTGCCTGTGTGTGTGGTGTGAATTTGTCACCGCTCCAAGCTCTCTCAATACAAATTAGTAAACTAAACATGAAATTGTAGTCCATCCCGGGAGGGAGCTTGGAGCGGTGACAACTTCACACCACACACAGGTTCCATGGGGAAGAAAAATAGCCCCCCTCCAGAAGGAAGGACAGTGTCAGCACCAATTCAGTGATGATTGGAGGATCTACAGCCGAGTGATACAAAATAACTACTTCTTTAGAAAGAAGCCACAGCCTGAGTAGTAAAGCCTCTCTACAATCATCATATTATAATGATATGCAAAGTTCTCCATAAGTTAAAGTGGTACCCAAAAAATGTCACCCGTTTTCTGATTAACATTTTATAGTAATATGCAAATTAGAAAGGTTTTTCCCTCAGTTAAAGTGAGGGAGAAACCCCTCACCCCCAAAAAGCAAAGTGTTTTGAGTCATATGAAAAGGGGTTCCTCCAAAATTTTTACAGACCTCCACCCGCTGGAGGTCCTGTAAAAAGTCACTGGAAAAAAATATGCAAATAATAAGCAGTGGCGACTACTTCACAACACACACACAGGGACCATGTGGAACAAAAGTAGCCCCCCTCCAGAAGGAAGGACAGTGTCAGCACCAATTCAGAGATGATTGGAGGATCTACAGCCGAGTGATACACAAATAAGATACATTGATGTTCATAGTTAGGGTACCTGAATGTATTTTTAGGATTTAACTCCGGAGTTTGGTGTCACTTTAAGTAAATGAGACTCTTGCCCCTAGCAACTTAATATTTGTCTATTTGTTTACATGTTATAGAATAAAAGCCGAAACTTTCTATGTGATATTGCAGTTAAGAAAATATTTTGTTGTACTACATTTACAATTTACTGTATAATGTAACCTACTGAGATAAGATGGATAGATGGAATCATTCTGCATCCAATCAAGCAGGGATTGGCAATACATTTTATTGTATTGGTCATTGGTAGATCTAAAGGTGATCGTACGGAAAGATTGTAACGTGTATGGTCAGCTTTAGAGTCTATTGTTCTGCATTTGATCTTATGCACATAAGTCAGAAATATGGCTCACAAGTTGCTTCAAGAACAGAGAAAATATTTTAAAATCGGTAACTTCGACTTTGTTTGCCAAAAAGACCTACAGCTGTCAAAGTGCATCATAAGCCAGGCCACCCGTCACAGCACGTCTGACACTTTACTACCCGATTGTACTTTCTCTGTACAATCTCCTTTTTATTTACCAGAAAGGATCACCTAACCAAACCCTTAATATGTATTCCTAATTATTCAAAATGGTCGATATAATTATTATTATAATACAGGATTTATATAGCGCCAGCAGTTGGTGGAGCGCTTTAAGAAATGTAGGGAGACAGTACAGTTACAATACAATGTCAGTACAATAGGGTTAGGAGGGCCCTGCTCGACAGAGCTTACAATCTAGTAGATATGCTAAAGGAGATTGTTCAATCAGATTGTAAAAGGTATAGTTAGTTTAACGTTTACCCAGACTGAATGCATGCCACTGCATGGGGGTGCTGCACAGTGGTCCCCCTGGTCACCTGAGATGTGCAAGAGCAAAGAACTGCACTGAAATGGGGATATGTGAACGAGCCCTTGAGACCGTGGTGGTCAACTTCACGTGCGGCCCCCAACACTTTCAGAGCGTCACCCGATGGAAGTGTGTTTTTGTTTCTTAAGGTGCAGTGCATTGAGTAATGAATGTGTTGTAATGCACCTTAAAGGAGAACTATGAGGTGAATGCTTTTCACTCACCTCATAGTTCTAGCCGACCTGTGACAATGAGACTGTCACAGGTCGGCTCAGTAGATCGGGAGGTGAGCGAACACATACCGGCGTTCGCTCACCTCTCGATCCTGTCACAGCTCTCTGCCGTGACAGGGGAGGGGCTGTATTCCCCCCTCCCCGCTCCGATCCTCCAGCACTGACTGGTGAAACGGACGGGGAGGGAGCGGGTACAGCTGGCCCTGCCTCTAGATAGGCAGAGCCAGCTGTCACTCACGCAGCTGGGCGGATCCAGACATAATTGTCGGGATCCGCTTCAGCTGCGGCGTCTCAGTATACTGAGCCTAGGGTGACGGGAGGACGCTAGTTTGTGTCCTCCCGTTACCCTAAGGAGAGCTATGGGGAAAAGCCCTGACCCCATAGTTCTCCTTTAAAGATCGAAAATTTTGGTCACGCTGCATTTTGTGCATTATGAGAGTAAAAAAAAATTTTCAAACATTTGTTGGTGTCAGTGTTTGTAATAATAATCCTCAACATTAGGGTCAGTGGCCACAATATTAACCCCCCAGTAAAGGTGTCCATGCCCACAATAACAACCCCCCACCATTGGTGTCAGTGGCTGCAATAATAACCCCCAGTATTGGTATCAGTGCCCACGATAATAACCTCCAGCACTGGGGTCAGTGGCTGCAATAATAAGCCCCAGTATTGGTATCAGTGCCCACGATAACAAACTCTAGTATTGGTGTCCTTGGCTGCAATAATAACCCCCAGTAATGGTGTCAGTGGCTGCCATAATAATTTACTTACCTGATCACATGCTCCCAGGCCACTCAAACACACTCTCTCCCCATCTGGGAAAAACAACTGTGGATAGATAGATAGATAGATAGATAGATAGATAGATAGATAGATAGATAGATAGATAGATAGATAGATAGATAGATAGATAGATAGATAGATAGATAGATAGATAAGATAGATAAGATAGATAAGATAGATTAGATAGATTAGATAGATAGATAGATAGATAGATAGATAGATAGATAGATAGATAGATAGATAGATAGATAGATAAGATAGATAAGATAGATAAGATAGATAGAGTGATATATAAATTAGTACAACCAGAGCAAATTGAGCTTTCAAATTCAATGTTGATTTTTTTCTTGGATTTTTCTCTGGGAAAAAGTAATTTCAAGTTTTAAGCCCCCACGGCTGGTAGACAATTACAGCTCTTCTCGCAGTCGCACCTGGCGCCCAACTAATTTATTATCATTAATCTGCTCCAGATTCCAGTATTTGTCATCAATTAGAAAGTACATCGACCGTGAGATGAGAGCATTTGTAATTACAAATTATACATAGAAATATGTTTTTTTTAATCATGAAACAGAACAGTTATATTAAGTCTTAAATTATCATAATTCGTCAGGCTTTACCTATGAAAGATGTATCTTTGGTTGAGACTTACATTTTGGATGGAGTATAACCTCCAGCATTGGTTCAGAGATCGCTTAAGGTCTGACAGTGGCCGTCTGTCTTCACACTCTCTCTCCCAGCTCCGCAGAGTACATGACAATTGCAAAGACTCAAAGTTTTTTACATTCCTCTGAGCTGCAGGATTTGTTGCCTGACGCTGTTATGCACTTTAGGGGCCCATTCACAAATGTGCATTATCTTTAAAGCATGTTAACGTGCAAGCACATGTGTGTAGCACTTCAAGTACACTCAGAATGAATAGCTACATAGGTGAACCATCTGTGCTTTAGGCCCAGTTCGCACATAGGTTATCCATGACCACACGGCTATCGTGCATGAAACCGCACGGATGGGCACGCGGTCACAAAAATCACACACCACCGCTGATCGCGTTTGCATGCCAAGCTCTTCTAATGGCACCCCAGTTGCAGCATGCAGATTGCGAGGTTTCCCGCCACGATTCCATCCGTGCATTCGCACTTGATTGTGGTGGGGGGAAAAAACGTGTGTCGCAAAAAAAGGTACCTGTACCTTTTTTCAGCGATTGCATGCGGAAAAAACCCCATTGAAATCAATGGTTTGCTACATTGCAAAAAAGGTGCCCAGGGCACAAAGCCATAAGAACGCTATATACACATGCCAACTTAGTTCTGACGAGCAGACAAATGATCCTTTCTTTATAAAGGTCGATTAATGGAACAATCATTTCAGATACATTATTATACCTAGCATCATCCTACAATTTACAAATACACTATATGCCCCAATGTATTTGAGAACCCCTCTAATTGATTCACTTCAGGTGTTTCCAGTGTTAATGACATTTTTTGATATTTTAGACAATTGTGCTCTTCCCAACATTTTGGCAACATTTGGGGAAGGTCATTTCATATTTCAGTACGACCGTTCCCTTTGTGCACAATACTGCCTCCATAAAGACATGGCTTGACCAGTTTGGTGTGGTGGAGCTCAAGTGTCCTGCACAGAGCCCCAACCTCAACCCTTCTGAACACCAACTGCAAGCCAGGTCTTCTGGTCTAACATATTGACACTTGAGTTCACCCACACCAAACTGGTCAAGCCATGTCTTTATGGAGGCGGTTTTGTGCACAAAGGGAACAGTTGACTTCTTAAATGCTCTTTTAGCTAAATGGGCACCAATTCCTTCAGACACACTCCAAAATTGTGGAGAGTTTTCCTAGAAGCCTGTAGGCTGGTATAGCTGCAAAATAAGGGTGAAGGAGGTAACTCCATGGTTTTAGAATGGGTTGTCCAATATGCTCATACAGGGTTGATGGTCAGGTGTCCATGAACATTTCTACATATACTGTACTTTTTGTTGTATAAGCACTGGACACTAAAATTAAGGTAAACCAGACAGAAGACATCCAGGAGCTGCTGTTGAAGGCGTTTGCAGTGTCTCTGAATCTTGACTTGTTTTGTTTCCTGTTTCAGGATCTAAGTGCAATACAAGAAGATCTCCTCCTGAAGCTGCTCTCAGGATGGACAGACAGCAGAGAAAGTAACTTAGTGGAGGTAGAAAGAAACGCGCCCGAACCCCTACAACCTAAAATCGCCCCACCTGTGAAGTTCCCACGCCTGTCTCTGCGGGAACGAAAAGCTCCGTGCAAAAACTTCTTCTGGAAGACGTTCACTATGTGCTAGTCAATTGCTGTCTCTGGTTTTTTTTTTTTTATTTATAGATTTGTGACATTGATAAAGTTTGTAAATAACATGACATCACCCTGTGTGGGGATTTGCTCATTTCCATTAAACTTAAGGAATCATTCAGCAGTAAAGCCGTTTCTTATATTCCAAAAGAATCAGAATATCCACATAAAGGTTTCAGTGTTTGTTTCCGGCTCTTCTGAGTTTCCAGTCCTCTTGTCCACATCATAATTCTGTGCTGGAGGAGTCTGATCCCCCCCCTTACCCCATGTAACAGAAGTCCTGCCTCTTCCCACTTCCCCTTCACCATTGTACCATGACACTGTCCCTGCCACATGCGGTCATGTGTTCATACGAGTGGACAGGTCACCTCTACCCACAAGGTCAGGATATGTCTACTCACAGATCAGACACACACAGGTATTCTCTATACATTGTGTAAAGAGAGATAAAGCTTAATGATTTTTCAACATCGTTTTAAAGAAAGAAAGAAAAAAAAAACGTCCACAAAGATAAATACAGGAAAAGATATTACAAGATGGACAATAGCAATGACAAAATAATGAGATTTAGGCCTCATTCGGACGGTGCGGGTCCAGGTGTCCACACTTGAACGCAGACAGTGTGCGTCCAAGTGCGGAGCCCCGGACCTGCATGTTCGGGTGTGCAGATGACAGCGTACAGCCACATCCTCCCATAGGGAAGAACAAGCTGCCGTGTGCAATTACACGCAGCACCTGTCGCTCCCGGGATCGGCTTGTTTACGGGCATGCATGCCGCACGGAAGTGTTTGCCCTGTCTAATTGAGGCCTCAAAGTGAACAGTACTTTTCAAGGTTTAGCTGGTCTTTGGTTTTGGCAGAGTCCAATTTGCTTCAGTGCGAGTCTGGTTCTGAGAGAGTCACTGGACCTCGGAATAACTCTCAGCATTCATGCATAGTTTGGATGGAAAATTGAGAGCTGTCAAGCTACAGAAGCAGCCATCTTTCCCTGGTCTTTGAGGTGGGCATGTAAAGAAATGACAAAACCAGTCAAAGAGTCTGAGGGTTGTGCTTAGGGGGAGCTGAAGTGTTTTATGATAGTTTAGCAGACACTCCTACAATGCCAGTTCTTCTATAAATAGTTCCAGATGCCCATGTTTTACATGTTCTGACAACCAACATACTGTTTCATAGAGACTAAACATGATAGCTCTATGATGGCTCTAGAGAGGCAGAGCTAGCTGTCAATCAGCTAGCGGGGTGGATCCCGACAATTTTGTCGGGATCTTTCCTGGCCAAAGTGCGGCTCTGGGCTGTCAGCAGATAGCGGGCATTAGCCCGCTATATGCTATGTTTTGGGTCACAGAAGGACATTAGTATATGTCCTCCTGTTCCCTAAAGAGAACCATGTGATGGGTGCCAGTCAGAACAAGAAGAGAAGAGAAATTGCACCAATGGGGTCAGAGACCGCATATCTTTATGACCTGGCTAAAATTGTTGCAGATCAGGAATATTTATCTGTCATCCCGCACCTGCCTTCAACCTGCAGCCAGACAGTGAAAGGAGAAGCAGCACAGCGATGAGCTCATCTCTCTGTCACTCTGCTTTCTCCTCCTATCACCATGCTTCTAGTCTACACATGAACTGATTGGCTCCTTGTACTGCTTCATGCTCTCACACTCCAGTCCTGCTGTATAGGAACCGCAAGAGGCTTATAAAAGGTCAGATATAGGCACTTACACTGCTTGTATGTCAACAATAAATTTTGTGATTATTAATGAATATACAGCTGCATTACTTTTCGTTTATTATATCAGCCTAAAGATGAGGACCACACCTCTTGTATCTTAACATGCATTTTCTCTTGCAGTAAAATGCATTGCAATGAGGCAGAGGTGTAACTAGAAACCTCAGGGCCCCCAGTGAAAGAAACCATGAAGGCCCCCCCCCACCCCCCCGATAATTATACAGCAATGCAGAATCCCTGCAGTTTTGAACCCCAATAATAAGGATGTCAGAGGGCAAGCAGAGGTAACTCTCCTCTTGCCCTTTCTCAGGGTATATAGATTGAGCTGACTCTCAGTGGGTAGAACATGGCGGTATGAGTTTCAAAGGCCGCGGGAGGGAGCTGCGGAGCTATGGCCTGCTGCATGCTGGGAGCTGTAGTCCCAGAAGGCAATGTCAGTGCCTTGGCAGTTACTGGGCCAGGCCCTCCTCTTCCCCCCTCAAATTTACACTATGAGCCATCATCACCCCCTTTGCCAGCAAATCCGAAGAACTGACTTCCATACAGTGGAAGATGTCTTTCTGTGCTGGATGTTAAAAGCGAACTAAGGGGTAAGTGTTTTTCCCCATAGTTCTCTTTAGGGTCACAGGAGGACACATACTAACCTCCTCCCGTGACTCAAAAGCTCAGTATATAGCGGGCTATTGACCGTGATATACTGAAAGCGCCACAGCCGGGACAGATCCCAGCAATGCTGCGGAGATCCACCCAGCTGCGTGAGCGACAGCTGGCTCTGCCTATCTAGATATCCTCACTCTGGACACTTGGATTGCACATAACCCTAAATCCAGAATCCAGATTCTCCAAGTTGCACCTTCAAGCCGAAAACACGGAGGGTCTTTAAGCCTTCCCCAGAATATGCAACACTTTTGCTAGGAGTTGCGCTTTAAGCTCCAGCAATACATTGCCTGCCTGGCTCCTGATATCAGCCCAGGTCTGGAATAACTGTACATTGAAATACAGACCAAAAGAAAAGCCGCGACTCTGAAGATTCTGGTTTGCGAGGAGTAATTTTGGGAATGTGGAGACTCTGCGAACTGTTACTGAATAATAAGACTGGCGGTGCGCAGTCATCGGAAATACTCCGCGGTGTCTTTTCAATGCGTTGTGCACTGAAGGCAGCTGATTTTTTTCTGCTCCGATGTGTTTTTCGTGATGTGCCAGTTTCGGGCCGGCTACACATCAGGCAAGATTAGCTTTCACAGCTCTTCTCGCCTCCCGCAGAGAAGAGCGTCTGCTGGTGTCACCTGCCGAGCCGCCGTTCCCTGCCAGAGAGCTGAACCGACAAACTGTGACGCTGTCGCTCATCATCGGGTCGGAGAGCTAATCAGTCCTGATAGCCCTTCAAGGATTGCTGATGAGTCCCGACCCCCACCAGTCAGTGCTGTTAATTACCTTTCACAGGCGCGAGATGAAATGTCAGAACAAAAACGGCGCCGGTGGCCGGATACGCAATTCCCCGCCTGCTAAGATGAAGAAAAAAACCGAAAGAGCAGCAAATACGAGACGGCAAGATCACAGCAACTACCGGTCCTTTGGTTCTAACCGGCGCATCCCAAAAATCAAAATCAGCTCTTACAGTGATGCAAATAAATAAGTGGCCGAACTCCAGGGCCCGGTCGCGGCCGCGACCTCTGCGACCCTGGTAGTTCCACCACTGTATCTTAGCTCCTCCATAGTCTGATTTTAGACCGGTGAAATCAAATGTATATTAAAAAAGTTATAGATTTAAAGATGAAGTGCTTTTTTTTTTTTGCATCTGTACTTCTCCTCATGTTGGTCATTGTAAAGGCGCCCATACACCTGGCAGGTGATCCCGCGATCGTACGATAATCGGCAGGTGTATGGGCAGCGTGCGACCTCTTCTACTGTAAGGCCGCACGACATTCGTCTTCCGAGCACTCTGGAAAACCTGCAGAAAATGGTACGATTTTCGGCGGGTTAGTGGCGTGCGCGGGAGACGAATGCCGTGCGGGCCGGTGTGCGCAAGCGCACTCTGGCCGCTTAGCATTGCAGTCATCGGAAACACCCCCCTCAGCTGGGAGGGCTTGGGTGATTGCAAGTACGATCTGCCTGTCCAAGATGGGCAGATTGTACGAAATTTTAATCACCTTACAACCATCGCACAACGAAAGTCGTGCGATGGTTGTAAGGTGTATGGCCAGCTTAAGATAACCACACAGGCCTAGCACACCTGAAGTTTATAAATGCATTTCAATGAAGCAAATATCACCCAACAAAGGCCAAGTGGCATACACGTAATATACACGGTGTAACACCATACAGTTACATGTGCAAAAAAGGCAAAAGGATAGTCAATGTAAAGATAATTACCGTACAATAAACATGCAGACAGAGCAGGAGGGGAAAATGAGGTCACAAAGAGATGTTTTGGGGTTACCACCTTCTCCATTAGAGACCTGGACAATGATGGCCAATGTAGACCTCTGTAAATGCATACAAATAAATAATATGAGCTGCTGGCCTGTCTACATGAAGAACAAGTAGTATAACGTGTCCTTTCATTACCAGTCCTTTTAGGATAGCAAATGCTTCATTTGTTGAAGTTCTTTGTCATATGAACAAGCGTTTTTCGGGACCACACAGGGTCCCTTCATCATCGTCAATGCTAAAGCCTGATGTTCATATGACAAAGAACTTCAACAAATGATCTGGTGGTATGTGGTTCTGTAATGTATGAAGGTGAACAAAGATCGATCAATGTCTACCCGACAAGTATAAAAAACTTCAAGCTGGCAGTGCATGCCGGAAATTGTGGTTTCTCAGCAGACAACAGCGGCCAGTCCTTCCAGGCGTGACTTAGACAGTGCTGGAAATGATGACAGATAGGCAATCCGCAGGAACATAAAACCTTCCAAGACATACGAAAGCCCCGAAATAGAAGAATAATGAGGTCTGAGAGCAGAGCCAGGTCCCCTCACCTTCCATTCATCAGTCCCAATTCCAGGCGATTAGAACTTTGTTAACATCGGGCCAGCGGCAGAGGAAGATTAATATGATTTCACAAAGCATTCTGTCGCTATCCTCACCCCCTAATCGGCTTGTGATCTTTCCGCCCCCGCTCCGTATTCTGCAATCTACAGTGCGGCATTTACAGAAAACTGAACAGAAGTCACTTTTTCCGACGTAAACAACAACACTGCTAAACGCAACATCTCCTTCCTTCCTTCCGGAATGGAGCGTCTCAGTTCTCCGCCATCAATCTTCTGGCAGATGTGATAATGGGGATACGGCGGGCTAAATGCCCAATTTTATACTTTACTGATTTTCTATCTATAAATGAATGTTGGTAAATAGCAGCACGGGCCGAGACATTCCTTTGTCTGCTTGCTCTTCTAC